CCTGGCAAGCGCAAGGGCCTTAGTTCAATCCCTGGTAAAAAAAAAAAAAAAAAAAAAGTGCAAGAGAAGAAGGAGGAGGAAGAAGAGGAGCAGGAGGAGAAAGAACCCTTTGGGGGATGGGACACAGCTCAGTGGTAGTGAATGCTTAGTGCCCAAGGCCCTGGGTTGCATCTCCAGCATGAGAAAAAAATCTATTACATGACCTAGAAAATTAGTGGTCTTTTGTGCCTACAATCCTATTATGGCTTTTGTTCCACTCAGACCTGGGAGCTTTTTTTTCTTTTTACCATCATGGTAAAGTTTTTGTGGAACCCACTGAAGAGGGCAGGTAGCTTGCTTCCTTGCTGCCCATTTCCCACCTCTCACCATGGTGACAGGGCCACATGGGGGCCTGAGATAAAGGCACGTGGAAAGTGGAAGGGTTGGAGCTGCCAATAGGGGTGATGGGCAAAGCAATCTGGGAGGCAGGAACCCCGGATCTTCTCAGTTGTGGCTTTCACAGTTTGAGTACCTCAGCCTCCTGCACTGTCTGCCCCTTTGTTTGCTGTGTTCAACTTCCTGCCCTAAGAGGGGAAGTGGGCAGTGATCGCAGGTGCAGCGGCAACTACCGCAGCCATGGTAAGTCCTAATCCCCAGAAACCGGGACATCTCAAGCCTAGCCCCCTTTCCTCAACGTCTCTGGACCCAGGCTGACCTGCAGCAGGTGGTCCCAGCCCTCAGATTCAGGTGGGACCCTGCCTGCCACTCTCAGGAGCCTCATGTCACCCCTTTAATCTGCCAACAGGACAAGGAGTATGTGGGTTTCTCGGCCCTCCCCAGCCAGCTGCACAGGAAGTCTGTCAAGAAAGGGTTTGACTTCACACTCATGGTGGCAGGTCAGGGGGCTCTGGAGAGGAGGGGTGACAGTGGAGGTGTCCTCAGGAGGCCCTGGATGTCCCCTCATCTGACCTATACTGCCCACAGGGGAGTCAGGACTGGGCAAATCCACCCTCATCAACAGCCTGTTCCTCACCAACCTCTATGAGGACCGACAGGTGCCAGAGGCCAGTGGTGAGTCACCCTTGTCCTTCTCAGGGACTGTCCTCAGCTGTGTCTGGCCTGATTTGCACTTGTTTCCTTTCTCCCTGGGAACCGAGGCACCACTGGTTTTCTCTGAGGATGTTTCCTCTCTGAAAGAATGGGTAGGGGCAGCTGGGATGGGGGAAGGGAAACTGTCCTGCCTTGGCCCCCTACAGCTTCCCCACCTCTCCTGTTCCCCACAGCTCGCTTGACACAAACGCTGACCATTGAGCGCCGGAGCGTGGAGATAGAAGAGGGGGGAATCAAGGTGAAGCTGACCTTGGTGGACACTCCTGGCTTTGGGGATGCTGTGGATTGCTCCGACTGGTGAGGAGGCTGGGAAGGGACAGCACTAGGCTTCTTAGTGAGTACTGGGGAGGGGGTCAGTTACAGGGTTGACTTGTCCTGGCTCCCTGATCCAGAAAGAGGTGTCTGTTTCTTTTCTTCTTTTTCTTTTTGTTGTTTTGAGACAAGTTCTCACTATGTAGCCCAGCTGGCCTCGAACTCCTAGCCATCCTCCTGCCTCAGCCTCCCAAGCACTAGGATTACAGGCATATGTACCACACTTGGCAGAAAGCATCTGTTTCTGGAAGCCATCCAGCCTGAGGTGTGCTTTTTGACACCTGCATCCCATCACTTTCCCTCTACTCAGGCAGAAAGCATCTGTTTCTGGAAGCCATCCAGCCTGAGGTGTGCTTTTTGACACCTGCATCCCATCACTTTCCCTCTACTCAGGCTCCCGTGGTACTGGCTAGCTTTGTCCCCTTCTCTGCCCTGTGGCTTCTGATTTTTTGTTGTTATTGTTGTATCAGGGTTTGAACTCAGAACCTTGCACTTGCCACACAGGCGCTTATGCTGCTGAGCTATCTCCCTGGCCCTGGCTTCTGATCACGTCCTCTCCCCGTTCCCTAGCTGGCTGCCAGTGGTTCGATACGTTGAGGAGCAATTTGAGCAGTATCTCCGGGATGAAAGTGGCTTGAATCGGAAGAACATCCAGGATTCTCGAGTCCACTGCTGCCTCTACTTCATCTCACCCTTCGGCCGGGGGTAGGGGGTCGAACGCCTGGGGAGGGACTGGGGGCCTCTGCACTCTGGGGCCAGGCCCTGACCAAACCCTGGGTGCAGGCTTCGGCCCCTGGATGTGGCCTTCCTCCGGGCCATGCATGAGAAAGTCAACATCATCCCAGTCATTGGCAAAGCAGATGTCCTGATGCCTAAGGAGACCCAGGCTCTCAAGCAGAAGGTATGGACGGTGACCTCTGACCTTTGACCCTAAGTGCGGCCTTGAACCTTCAGTCCTCCTGCCTCAGCCTCTAGTGTGCTGGGATTACAGCATGTGCCACCAAGTCCAGCTTTTGGGATGCCCTTTTGAGAATTCAAGGTGTCAAGCTAGATTTTGAAGAAAGTTTCCAAGGAGGTAGGTAGGAAGCTGACAGAGGTAGCCATGTGTCTAAAGGCTCAGAACAAGATGGCAGGTGTGGTATGCACATCTCTAATCCCCGCACTTAGGAGGCTGGGGCAGGAGGATCACTGCAAACTCCAGGCCAGCCTGGCTATACAGTGAATTCAAGGCCAGCCTGAACTACATAGCAAGACCCTGTCTCAAAATAGCAAACAGGGGCCAGGAAGATAGCTCAGTAGAATAAGTGCTTGCCTGGCAAGCGCAAGGACCTGAATTCAGTCCCCAGTTCTGCAAAAAAAAAAAAAAAAAAAAAAAAAAAAAAAAAAAAAAAAAAAAAAAAAAAACCCCCAAAAAAAAAAAAATTTTTTGGATGGATTTGCAGATCCAGGGCCTAAAGGACGCTGGCACTCTGATGAGACATTCCTCTGGCCCAAGCTGCTAAGGAGCCCCAACCCCAGAATCTCTGAAGCCCTCTCCTATTGTTTTGTTCTCTCTCTCCTAGTCTCTTTCTATTTGTCCCCTTGTAAAATCTAAGTTTCTAACCATCTATGTCTTTTGATCACTCTGTATGTCCATCTCTCACTTTCTCTATCTCTCTACGCTTGCCTCAGGGTCTCTGGCCTTCTAATGCCAGTGGTTCATGGCCTTTTTTGATGGTACCGGGGATTGAACTCAAGGTCTTCGCACTGAGTTGCATCCCTAGATTTTTATTTTGAGTCAGGTTCTTGCTAAGTTCAAGGCAGGGCCTTGTACTTGTGATCCTCCTGCTCCAGCCTCTCGGCGTTGAGATCACAGGTGTGCACCCCTGACTTCCTTTCTCTGCCTCTGTCCCCTCTGAGATTCGGGACCAGTTGAAGGAGGAGCAGATCAACATCTACCAGTTCCCAGAATGTGACTCGGATGAGGACGAGGAGTTCAAGAGGCAGGACGCCGAGATGAAGGTGGGACAGTGGGAGAGGTGTAGGCAGAGGAGGAGGCTATCAAAGAGGCTTCTGCCCCAGGTACCAAGGTGACCCCTGCCCCTGCCGCCTAGGGAAGGATTCCTTTCGCAGTCGTGGGTTCCTGCGAGGTGGTGAGGGAAGGCGGGACAACCAGACCAGTGAGGGGGCGCTGCTATTCCTGGGGCACCGTGGAGGGTAAGGCCAGGCGTGCAGGGAGCCCAGACTGTGTTCTATAGGGGTGGGCTTTGGTCTTGGGAATTCCTCGGAGCTAAAAAAGGGGCCCTTGGGCTGCAAACTGCGCGGCCCACCAGGAGGGTGGGACTGGACCGAAGTGCCTCGACACCCGCTGGCCCGCCCCCTAGTGGAGAATCCGCACCACTGCGATTTCCTGAACCTGAGACGGATGCTGGTGCAGACCCACCTGCAGGACCTGAAAGAGGTGACGCACGACCTGCTCTACGAGGGCTACCGGGCCCGCTGCCTGCAGAGCCTGGCCCGGCCGGGGGCGAGGGATCGAGCCAGCCGCAGGTGAGAGCCGGTGCCAGCTGTTTCGGTGCTTCCAGAGGTTCCTTTTGAGGTGCCCTGGGAAGGCCCCTCCATGACTTCGCCTCCTCCCCACCCAGATCTCACCTCCATACTTGGCGGTACTGGAGACCGAACCACATCCTTTGCGCCAAGCTACATACACAGCCCTTCTCCGGGAGAGGGTCTCGCTAACTTTCCCTGGTAGACTCAAATTCACGATCCTCCGCTTCAGCCTCCCCACCCAATTCAGGGATTACAGGCGTGCGCCACCATGTTTACTCTTCGCCAACTCATTTGATCTCTCGACTTCGCATGTGTACTCGCCTGGGCCTCTGGGATCCAAATTCACACCCCACACCCCACACCCGCCTCCTATCTCTGACCTGTTCCCTTTCCTCTCCTTGCAGCAAGCTTTCCCGCCAGAGCACCACTGAGATCCCGCTACCCTTGCTGCCTCTGGCCGAGACGGAGAAGCTGATCCGAGAGAAGGACGAAGAGGTGAGCAGGCACCTTGCTTCTCCTCTAAGCGTAGCCCCAGACCCCACCCGAGCCCACCACCTGCTCTCTCCCCGCACAGCTGCGCCGCATGCAGGAGATGCTGGAGAAGATGCAGGCGCAGATGCAGCAGAGCCAGGTCCCCGGGGAGCAGTCAGACACTCTCTGAGGAGCGGCCCTCATGCCCTGCCCTGCCCTGCCGGGTCCTCCCTACCTGGGTGCCAGCATCTACGTAAAGGGAAGCCAGCCCCAGCCCCTGGTCACCCTTCTCCTCTGTGGAGCGTGCCCCGCCCCTCTTCCTCATACTCTGTTTGCAATAAATAAATAAATAAAAATTAAAAAAAAAAAAAAAAACAGCTTCCCCAAAGACCTTTGAGTCTTCCTTCTAGCGGTGGGGTTCGCCTGTAAAAGGCTGAGGCAGGAGGATTGCCACTGGCCTAAACTACATAGCTAGAGCTTGTCTCAAAAAATAATAATAAATAATAATAGTAAAATAAAACAAACAAGGGCCTGCCAGACAGCTCAGCGAACTAAAGCGCCTGTTTAGGCAGAGCGCAGGACCGAGGTTTGATCCCCGGTGTGCTGTGCCCTTTAAGTCCCTGGGACATGCTGAGAAGGCAATTGAGACTGGGCGCGCCCGTAATCCTAGCACTGGGAGGCTGAAAACAGGACAGTCACGAGTCTGATCTGTGTAGTGAGACCCTGTAGACCCTGTACTAAATACATTACATATATAAAAAAAAAGAATGTGGAGATGTAGTTAAGTGTAAAGACCCTGGGTTAGATTCCCAGTATCTCCAAAAAACCCGTAACAAATTATACTAAAGATGTCGCCAATAAGAAACAAAAGACCAGTTGAATTTTATTGGGAGTCCAGGGTGGAAGCTGGAAGCTCTGGCCACCAGAGGCCTAAAAGGCCACTACTCCTGGTCCTTGGCATCACCGTGCGTGATGACGTAGCAGATGTTCTTGTAATCCACGTTGCCACCCACATCTGGGGGGAAGGCTGCCCACATGTTCTTGATCTGGGGACAGGCAGAGAGAGAGGCTCAAGGGCGTCTGGGACCTGTTTGTGTGCTCCCAGTCCAGGTCCCTCCGCCTCGCCCAGCCCCTCCCCCACTTACCTCCTCGGGGGTGAAGCGGTCACACTGCGTGGTAAGCAGTTCTTCCAGGCTGGAGAGGGGCAGACGGAAATTTGAGATTTCTTCCGGTCTGTTCCCTCTCATTTCATCCCCATTGCCACGCCCAGCCCTCCCTGAAAACTGGGGTCCCCCTTAGATCCTTTTCTGAGCCCCCTGCTTGCTTTTCTTTCTCCATCCACAGAGAAGAGGTGGACCAATCATCGGTCCTCATCTCTTATCTCCTCCTCACTTGAGCAGCGCTGCTCAGAGCTGAAAGCTTTCTGAGAGGGAGCCGCTAGCTGCAGGGGCCACTTACAACTGCTTCTTGATGGTGCCCTTCCCCTCCGGGTCCAGGACCTTGAAGGCGCCGGTGATCACATCCTCAGGATCCGCACCTGAGGAGTCAGAGGGCACAGAGTCCCGAGGGTCCCCGAAAGTCTGGGCAGGGGCAGCCGGGGGTTGGATGGGGGACACACCACTCACCCTTGAGCTTCTCTCCGAACATGGTCAGGAAGACGGTGAAGTTAATAGGACCACTGGCTTCCTTCATCATGGCGTCCAGCTCCTCATTCTTCACATTCAGGCGGCCTGGGGTGGGCAGGGGCTGAGGCTGAGTCTTAATTATTTGACCCATTTGTCAGATAGGTACTGGGGCTCAACTTGGAGCTGACAGGGATGGAAGGCAAGGTCCCCAATCCCTACCCTCAGCCCCATTCGCGCACACACACTGAATATTTATTGACTTACCCATGGCTGCAAAGGTGTCCCTGAGGTCCTCTTTGTCAATAATGCCATCTCGGTTCTGGTCAATTACTGTGAAGGCCTGGGGGTGGGGGGCAGGGGCAGGGAGAGTGTGAGACCCACGGGCAGGGCCGGGCAGGGATGGAGTCTCTGGTGACTTTTCTGCATCCCTACCGCAGCCAGATCAGATTCTGGCCCCTGCCCAGCTGTCCTCTACCACCCCAGCAGAAAGGGGAGGAAGGAATTCTAAACCCGGCCCTCCCTCAGCAGGTGCACATTCCACGGAGGGGGTAGGGTGGAAGAGGCCTTCGAAGCCCTCACCTCCTTGAACTCCTGGATCTGGGTCTGGTCGAACATGGAGAAGACGTTGGAGCTTCCGCCCTCTGCTGCTGCCCTCCTCTTGGCTTTCTTGGGTGCCTGGGGAGTGAGAGGTGGGCACAGAGGGGCTGGGGCAGGCCCTGTAGCTCTCAGGAGGAAATGGATTAGACCCAGGGTTCACTGTTTTTGTTTGGCTGTTTGTCTTTTTGAGACAAGGTCTTGCTATGCAGTTCCAGCTGGCCTTGAGCTCATTTTGTAGCTCAGGCTGGTCTTGAACTTGCAATGATCCTCCTGCCTCAGCCTCCCGAGTGCTGGGATTACAGGCACACACCACCACACCTGGCTTCTTTGGCTTTTTGAGACAGGGTTTTGCTGTTTCCCAGTTGATCTTGAACTCCTCAAGTGATCCTCTCTGTACCTTCCAAGTGTCAGGGACCCTGGGCAGAGCCACCACGCCCAGCCACACCCGGAACTCTTTGGGTCTCTTTCTCTAAAATGACTTCCCCATCTTGGAGTTTGAGTGCACCCATGAAGGGATTGTTTGCTTCCTTCAGAGGCCCACCTCCCAGCCCTTCCCCACCTTCCCTTCTCCATGCCCTCGGCGGCCTCCTCAGAGCCCTAGGCCACCCGTGTGGCCCGTGTGGCCTGGATCCACTCATCTCACCTGCCCAAACCTCTCATTTACAAAACGAGAGTGGGAGTCCTCTAGCAGGTCTCAGAGGACGTTAGGGAAGGGATGAAAGTGGGCTATGAGGGGGACCAGACCCTGTCAGTGGAGTGTCTGGACAGATAATCCGCTCCTTCTTTAAGCTATTGCTCTGTTTCCCTCTAGGGATATCAAGGAAGCCAGGAGTCATCTTTGTATCAGTTGTTGGACTGGGAAGTGGCTACTTTCTTTCACAGCATGAAGCTCCCTGGAGTCTAAGGGATCCGGCCAGCAGGGGCTGGGGCTGCTCACTCACCATGGCTTAGGTCTCCTGGAGCGGGGCAGTGGCTCTGGCTGGAAAGAAGCGGAGAGTCAGCCTGGTGCAGGCCTTCTGGGGTTATATAGTCCTACCACAGGGAGCCCTTAACTAAATACCAGGGTAACCTTAGCCCTGTGGGTGCCCACCCCAGGTACCAAAATAGCCCAGCTCTGGGCCTCTCCTTTCTTGGAGGGCCCACAGCAGCTGGATCCCAGGGAGGGAGGAGGGAGTGGGTCTTGGGATGCATGTCTCATTAGGAGCTAGGCAGGAGGAGTTGTGCTTTCCTTCCCAAGGGGGCTGGAATATGCCAGAGTTTAGAGGTTTAGAGGGGCTGAAGCTGGGGGGGG